AGCCACCCCTGTTTGACGGGGCTGCTTTCCAGTCTGCAGAGTCGGATGGGAAAGAGCATCTTTCCTGTGGCGCTCCCGGGCTTTGGGCTATGGGGTGGGATGGATGGGGAGAGCCTGGGAGCAGGCACATACGCGTGGGCACCAGCGGCACCCGGAGGATTTCTGAATGAAACTTCCCACTCGCTCTTCAGGTACATTAAGCATCCAGAAATGAACTACTCCAGCTGCTTCACCTAGTTGTGGTGCGCTTCTGTATCCGATTTCTTAGCAGTTACATGCTTGTTCCCAAAGAGAGTCTTGTGTGCTGACTTCAAGGTTCCTTTTTTTGGGGTTTTGTCCGTTTGCATTGCTTTTAAGGCTAAATATAGCGTTCTGAGTCACTGGGAGCTGCACTGGAGTGTCCTACATTACTGACCTGCAGGAGAGGGGTCGCTAATTCCTCGGGCAGGCTGGCTGCAGCCGAGCCGAGCCCAACCCCACTTCCAGCTCAGCGCTGCTTCCAGCCACTCAGCTGGGAAACACAGATAAATATGTCGCAACTGCCCAGAGGCCGGGAATTCCCTGCTACACGTGGTGAGGGCAGCTGAAAACATCACTGTCTGTTCAAACCAGTACACCGAGTTCCTAAAGAAATGGTCATTTTTTCCCAATGAGGTTTAGTGAAGCAGATGGAGATGTTGGTCTGGGGACGATCTGAATCTGCTTTCTGCTTTTTGTGGTGTTTTTTTTTTTTGGCTGAGTCTCTTCGTTTACCTGACAAAGCGCCTATGAAGTGAAAATCTGGCTAGGCTGAATTTTTGGTGTGTTTGGTTTCTCTTTTTTACAATAAAAGACAGGATTTTGCTAAATTAACCTCAAAAAACCCCAACCAAGTCACAGCCAGAGGAGCCCAGCGCTGTGCATCACTCTTTCTTCCCTCTTCTTGAGTTTTTTGGGTTTTATTTTTTTGGGGGGGGGCTTGTTTTCCTGTTGTTATACGGAAAAGAAGAACCCAGATTTTATCTCTTACTCATTTCACCTCTTCCACAGAAACGGCACTATCTGCACTGTGGCTGCTGGCGGTGGGAGGGGTGATTCACCCGAAGCCGGGACAGCTCCGCTGAGAGGGCACTGGGCTCTGCACGCTCCTCACGGCCGCTTCGTTCAAAAAGGGGAACTCTCTTCGTCGTAAACTTCTCGTCACGAAGGCAGCCTAGCGCAGAAGGGCACGTACCGTAACCAGCCTTTTCCCCAAAGTTTACAAAAGACACCAAACTTAAATCTGAACATGGCGACCTGCGACCGTGTTTAACGTGCTCTTACCCCTCAGGGAGCGATCCTTTAGCCAAAACAATAAATCCCCTCATTTTGTGCGACTCAAGCCATGGTTTAATTGCCAGCGTTACGTCCTCTGAGCTCGAGGGAACGGTTCCCTTCTCTCGTGACTTAGTGGGTTTGGATTTTTCTTTTCTCCCTGTGCAAATGCTTAAGGATCTGTGCCCTTTCTTTCAATCAAGGCTGCGCCACGTGTGCGAACTACGAGGTATTATTAGTAAAAAAACCTCAGCGGAGGGGTCGTCCAGGAGCCTCTGTATCACTCTCATATCAGCAGGCACCTTCTCTCCTAGAAGCGCAGACGCTGGTTCTTGCAGGGGCTGAGACGGCTCAATTAACGCCGATTGGTAAGATTTTGCGGCTGACGTAGGGTTTTTTCCCTCCAGATGTCTATTTTTATCCTAAGAAAACAGACCTGAAGCAGGGCAGCATCACCCCTCGGTCTCACAGAGAAGTTTTCAGCCTTTTGCTGAAATCGATTCCTGCTACATCTCTGCAAATGGACTTCGTGAGCGCACCGGGGTTTTCTAACCCTCCCTGAGTGCCGGCACAGCTCACATCTTCCCAGCTGCTTCCACAAATTGCTGCCCAGCGCCGGGGGCTCCTCAGGGCAGAGGGTTCCCATAGGCACCCCTGCAAGATTTGTACCCTGGGATGAGCCAAAATAAAAGCAGAAATTGTATTTGGATAAGTTTCAGTGAGAAAAAAAAACACGCCTGGGAAGTGAGAGCTGTTGGGAAGCTGTCACGCCACTCATGGCCATGGATGCTACGGTGTGTCTTACCTGGAGATGGGCACGGCTTTGGTGCCGGTGGGCTCTGTCTTCCTGGGAGGAGGAGGAGGAATGGTGAAGCACACCCTCAGCCATAGGAGCTGGATTCACACTGGCTGAAGATGGATTAAGAAAGTACCGGGTCACACGTTCCCTCTGGCCCCTGGAAATCTGACTGAACTGAAGCTTTGGGAGCAACAGGGAGACAGAGCTGCAGTGCCTGCTATCGGGGCAGGGCATTTTTAGCTAATCCCAACATTTCTTTAGCATGAAAACCCTACTTTTGGGTCGATTTTTGCTGGGGTTGAAGGAGAAGCCCTGCAGCACCGCTGGCTTGGAGCTGGCGGAGTGTATTGCCCCTGGTCCTGCAGCCTGTTCCCAGGCAGCCCAGCCCATCTCTCCGGCGGGCGGGGGCTTCCCGAAGGATGCTGCACTGGGACACCCTGCCCGCTCCTCCGCGGCCAGAGCAGACGCTGGGAGCGTGCCGAGGGGGAATTTGGAGCAAGCTGGTTTCAAGGACTTGTAGTCGGAAGGACATTTGGGGCAAAGGCAGGGAGAGCTGGAGATGGCAGCGGTAATTATTGCAAGCTTCGTCAGCGTCGTTATTCACTGGGACACTTGGAAGCTCATCACTAAGATACTTGAATTTTTCTTAGGCTATTTAGGCAATTCTGGGTGAAAGGATTGCCCTTTGTTACTAATTATGTATTTTTGTT